GAATTTACAAATGAGTATTATAAGAAACCGGTTTCCATAAGCTGGCATCCTGGCATCATAATTATCTAATCTAATCTAATCTTCTATGCGAATATATACTCGATATTGAAAAGAGTTCAAAATTCAACCGATATTAGTGCATGTTCTACCTGGGACAGCCGACCATGAATTCAGAAAAGATGTATCATCCGCCGCCATTTTGAAAATGAAGGTTCACTCGTGATTCGTGATAAATCATTGAAAAGAAAATGTTTGCTCTATCGAACGGCGTGGAAATATCTACAGGATTCCATACAAAATTCAGGTTTATTTCCGGTAGAACCTAAAGCTCGACCTAAAGTGATATTCGATTGTTTTTTTTTCATGGAAAATATGGGTTTTAAGGAACTGTATCGTCCGATCCGAATGTCAAAGTCAAAAGTATAACAAAAAACATGATGAATGGCGCCCTGGCCAATCATTTCCATTTTTTTGTGTTTATCGCGAAAGTTATTGAAATTATGTAGTCATCCACAGTGTCATTCATAAAGTCGGCATCATATGGGAAAAACTTTTATTGATGACTCATTTTGGAATTCGAGTTGGACGTTAAGTTTTGCTTCAAAAAAGATGAAAAATGGCCTACTCAATCAGGGTCACGTGACTTTCGTTAAAAGTGACATTTTTTCGAATTAATCGCTGAAAGTAGGCTTATTTGTTCGAATATTGAAAAAGTTTACTTGAAAAAGTTGTTTCTATTTCAATTTTACACATGCTTCTCGAATTTGATCTTTCTATTGCAACTTTTAGATTTTGATTTTTTTTTTAATTTTTCGAAATTTCTGTAATATTTGGAGAATTGTTAATTCCACGAAACTACTTCATACCAGTTGCTTTTTCATGCTACTTACTTTCAATTACTTATCATCACTGATTATGGAGAGAAATATGATTTTCTTCAGAAAATGATAACACCCGCTTCCAAATTCTGTTATGTTTGATGCAAAGTTGATATATCGTCAAGCATTTAGAAACAAAATTCATTTAAACTGATCTTTTCAGTACTGGAAAAATAAATTCAAATGAATTTCGTTTCTAAATGCTGGATTCAAACATAACAGAATTTTGATGTTATGTTTGCATCAAACATAATAGAATTTTGAAATTTCGAAAATTTTAAAAAAATATCGAAATCTAAAAAATGTAATAGAACGATAAAATCCGAGTCACATATGTAAAATTCAAATAGAAATAACTTTTTCAAGTGAACTTTTTCGATACTCGAACAAATAAGCCTACTTTCAGCGATTAATTTGAAAAAATGTCACTTTTGACATGTAGCGAAAGTCACGTGACCCCGTTTGAGTAGGCCATTTTTCATCTTTTTTGAAGCAAAACTTAACGTCCAACTAGAATTTCAAATTAAGTCATTAATAAAAGTTTTTCCCATATGATGCCGACTTTATGAATGACACTGTATATCAATCAATCAGTTCTTGTTTTTTTAGGATTATAAAACTAAAGTTCGAAATTGAAAAAAAAATCACTTTACTGCACTTGTGCAAAAAAATGTCTTATGTATAGTAGCAGTCGTAAAGTTAACCAACAATAGATACCAGAAACCAAAATCGACCAACCCATATCTTGGGTTTCACGTATAATGAAGTGGATATTTTCCCCCTTTCAGGCTTGACCAAAAACTCATTAAGTAATGAAAACAATTTTCTTCGCGATATAACAAAGAAGATGGTCTAACGTATTATACATGGTGTACAGTGTGTAAATGTACAGCCAGCCATTACAGGTCAAGTGGGGGTGGTACCCTATTTTTTTTTCAAATGGGAACGGTGGCCATTTGCGGCAACATTATTTTCAATAACTTCGATGATATCCAGGGGAAAAAAAAACCAAAATGTGTACACTATCTAATATAAAGGGTGGCATTGAAATAAGTGCAAATATTTTAAACCCTGAGGAAGGTCGACGTATACTATCGAATACCTCGTATACGTATAAAATTCTCGTGTCACGCTGTTTGTTGCCAAACACCTCCGAAACAGTTTGACCGATTCTCATGAGAATTTTTGTGCATATTTGGTAGGTCAGAGAATCGATCGTAAAACAATTTTTTTTGAATTGGAAATTCAAGATGGCGGATCCAATATGGAGGCCAAGTTAGGTAATTATGATCCGATTTGATTCAATATTGGTATCTAGGGATTTTTGGGGACGGAAATTATGATTCAATTCTATTTAAAATTGTTGTCTGGGGGTTTTCGGATTCAGAGATAATGATTCTTTCGAGGATTCTTTCTTGAAAATTTAGAAATTTTAGATGATGGAATCGATATGGCGGACGAGTTTTGTAATTATGATCCGATTTTATTCAAAATTGGTATCTGGGGGTTTTAGGAGTCTGAGATTATGATTCTTTTGTCAAAATTGGGGAATTCAAGATGGCAGATTCAAGATGGAGACTAATTGTGATCCGATTCAATTCAAAATTTGGTATCTGGGGGTGTTCTGGGTCGGAGAATATGATTTTTTCTTCAAAATTGGAAAATTCCAGATGGCGGATCCAATATGGCGATCGAGCTTTGTAATAAATAGTAGTTTGAAAAACTAATGAAACATGCTTTTATAAAGAGCCAAACTAAGAAGAAGTAACAAATAAATAATAATAGTTGAAAAAACGGAAGAAATAGATTATTGCCGAACTAAAAAGTAATAGAAAATTAATATGGTAGTTTGAAAAACTGATGAAACACGCTGTTATGGATAGCCAAACTCAAACTAAAAAAAGTAAAAAATAAAATAATAAAAGTGTGTTGATGAATATTTGATTCAATATTTAGGTAACTGAAAAAATATTCTCTAGAAATAATGTATATAGCAAAACAACGTTTGCCGGGTCAGCTAGTCATATTTAATTTTCTGATGATTGAATGCAGTAAAAAAAGTACTTAATTCACCAAGTAACAAAATTTTAGTACTCAAAGGCGTATATATTATTTAATGTATTGAAAATAATACTCCAATACCTATTTACTTTCGGTAGATAAAGGTAGAAGAGGTGTCCAAAAAGAATAAATGTTCAAAATCGCCCTGTATCTCGGAACGGAACTCGGGAAATAGGTACCTAGTTATGCAAAATCTGAGTTCCACAAAAAAGTAGGACAGGAACGTGAAATCTGCAAGTCTCTATCTTTAATAACAACCCAGGAAACTGACAGTCTCAACCAAAATAGGATGCACTGTACATTTTATCATGGCACCCTGTATGAGTCATTGAGTCATCTAACTGTTTTTATTAGATCATGAATATCATTCGGGAACTCCTTTGCTGCGTCATGATCAAGGTCATGTTCATTTCTAATTATAGGCATGTATATTTTGTATTTCAGAAACAAAATTTTTGATTTACCAGGCAATCCAAGTTATGTTTTACAGTAAGAGAAAATAGTTTCCTCAGTGTTTGTTTGCTTATTATGGCTATCAGAAAACTGGCGTGACTAATAAATAATGTATGTTGTTTCATTCCTAATGATATAATATCTAAGTAAATAATTACTTGTTTTGTCAACAAGTTATTGAGATATTTATTGTGTGTGGCAAGTACAAAATCAATCAAGTCATCTTACAAAAGCACAAAAATCAAGTGTTTCCTCTACCTAATCTTAGTTTTTTGTCATGTCATTCCAACCTCGTGTCCCAGATAATATCAATATAATCTTCGATGAGATATCAGTTTTTATAAAACGATTTTTTTCAAAAGTGCCATTCCTTACCTACTCAACATATTTTACTTGATTTACTTTTTCTTTGGGAATGACTCAATTTTTTTCAAACCACTATGATAACCTTGAAGGCATCTCTTAGGTATGTATAGGTGCCTACCTAGTTTTTGGGGTTGAGGAATATTAGCGTCTGCGGACAGACGCAAGTAATAGCTCCGTGGTGGGAGAACGTTATAGTGGGCAGTAGATGCGACTGGCGTTATGCAGCGCCGAGTGAATGACTTCATCATACTTCGTCTCGTAAGCAACTGGTTGGCTCAGTAAGCAGAGCATCGGCATACCAAGCCAGCGGGCCGGGGTTCGAATCCGTGCGAGGCTCACCTTTTTTTTATTTTTTTCTTGTTCTCAAGTGATTTCTAAAAAATATTCTCTATGGGAAATAGGTTCATTTAGGGGTTTTCTATGTTTAGGCCAGAGGTGAGGTTCGGTTAGGTTAGGTTAGAATAGAATAGAATATTTTATTTGGTGTTAATAAACAAAGTTTTACACAGGTCAACGAAACAAGTACAGATATACTCATAAAATAGATAGGTTAGGTTTTCTCATTTTTTATGCAGAAACAATATTTTCCTTCCTCAAGAAAAATTCTCCTTCTTCAAGAAAAAAGGTTCATCTAGGTCGATTGATTGTTAAAAAAAAATTCCTTCCTTATATTAGACTCGACACAAGTTAACTAAAGTTCCCCTACCACGGAGTTATTACTTGCATCTGTCCGCAGACGCTAGTTTGAGGAATTACTTCCACGATAGTTGAAGACGGCTGTGCTTCCACTTGAAAATTGGAATTTGGTAGGTGTGATTAGAAAAGATATAAGTGAGATATACAAGAGATACAAGGGTTCTCGATTTGTACATGAAGTTACCTATCTGCGAACTACGTTTTTGCACAAGAAATTGCAAAAACATTCATCATAAAAAGCTCCAACACCCAATGGTACCTCTTCTCAATTCTCAAGGTTCACATAATTCTAATCAACCTCTCCATCAACCTTGAGAGGAAATGGCAAATAAAAATAGCATGATGTCAAGTTTCATGACTAGGCAAGAATAGTTACAGCTAAAAGATATTGATTTCTCAAATTCATTAAAAACAGTAGTCTACCGCCTAAACTATGTACGATAATATTACAATATTATGCAGTTCCTCATTTATAAACAGTTGGAGTGTTTGCTGTTTGAACTATTCCATTTTTACCTATGTACAATAATGGGAATAAATACTAACCTTGTCTTTAATATGTGGAATCATATTTTCTAATATGTAGTCGGTTCACCGTTTGAATTTGGAGATGAGAGGATTGATCCACAACTAGAACTTTACTCAACCACAACACACCGAAATAACGACGAGCAGATGAATGAAGAATGAATAGATGAAAAATAGTGCGCGGCTTTATAACTAGGTCACAAATGACATTCATGACATTGATTGTTGAAATGTTGACGAAATGACGTGTGTCATATTGATGACAGTGATAGTTGACGAAATGACGTGTGTCATCGTGATGACAATGACATGATCATTGCTGCCTGAATTATGAATATAAATTTTGACTGAATTTCAACTTTTGTTAGCCAACAGTCCTGGCTGCTGCTCCGAGCATATACGTATTAATGGCTCCGAGACCTTCCTTAACAGTCCTGCTTCAAGACCTTCGTCAGCAGGCAACATCGCGTCACGAAAGCCTAAAGTTTTCGAACCATTCCCAAACCACATTGTCAGATTGTGAGATTGGTCACAGTATCCTTGTCACAGTGAATCACATGATGCATCATGGCTTGTAAGAGAAGAATTATTAGGGATCAATGTAAGGATACCCTCTGAGAGAAACATCCTTGAAAGCCTGAATCACTACACACTACACTAATGATGACAGTTAGCTGACGCAATGTTATTAGTGGACCAAAATCAGCCTCTACAATTTCATTGCAAAAAATAATCATCAGAAAACATCCAGAAAAACATGCACCCTAACTTTTAAACATCTCAATTTTCGGTACTGTTGGCAGTGTTGGCACCATTGGCACAGTCTATTGTGTTGGTAGCAGATATTTTTCCCGCTAAATTCATATCATAATAAAAATAAATGTTTGTTGGTTATGTTCAGTTATGTGCTAAGTGAAATGCTGTGCTAAGTTTGCTAAAAGTAGCCAAAAGAATATAATATAAAGTCATGGATGTTGCCGACGTTAATTTAGGCCAGAGACAACACAGAGATGAAATAGGAATCCGGTGTCAAAAACTTTTCCAAGACTTCCTTGAAGAGTCAGTACCTACCTACCTACTCATATCATAGATTTTCATTTGTATTTCATTATGCTACACCTTTTCAAGTTGTATTTCAAAAAGCATCAGTGCATCATTTGTATTACAGAATAGTCAATTCTCAAAATCCTTACAATTGACCTCGCAATTGACACTTTCTACAATTTGATTGACTTTTTTGAAATACAATTGATGATTTCTGAAATTGAATTGCCTTATCTGAAATTCAATTGACGTTTCCTGAAATACAAGTGACTATTCAGAAATTCAATTGACTATTCTGAAATAGAATTGATGCTTTCTGAAATACAAGGGACTATTCTGATTTACAATTGAAGCTTTCTGACTCACTTTCTAAATTACAACTAGAAAAGGCTTGGGAATAGGTGTAGTTTTGAAAAGGAATATTCTCAGATATATTATGAACATGAAAAAATGTATACATATAAAAGATCGGTACTTACATTAAGAATTTCCATTCTCTATCTGATGAATATATAATTACTTTTTCAGTATACTCAACAGAAAACATCTACTATCCTGGCTATATATGCCATGAGGAACATCTATTGAAGACACTGAAACTCCCAATAAGAATTTGCATTCTCTTTGAGATATAAATTCAGGGTGTAATTTAATTGATGACAGGAAATGGAAATGGTTCCTTTTAACTCATTTTTAGAAGAAAAGTTCATATGAACATATGCCCTACCTCTTAACAATCCAACTATAGGATGTTGAAATTAAATTTCATGAAGAATAGTTATTTATAATACAATGTAGTAGATTTTAGCTCCAGGTTGTGTTGTCTCCTGATACATAGCTGAGGGGGACAAAAAACCATGTGCTAAAATGCTAATAACTAATATTTTTCCCTTTATACCTAATACTTTATTTTGTGACAGGAAAAAGAAACAATCAATATGAGAAGATGAATGAGAATGAGAAGATATTACATTATAATAAAATCAGAAGATTATTAATTTGAAATTTTAACTTTTTAACAGAAATGGCACCTGCATTGCAGGCTTCTTCATCATGATTTTGAAGTAATCAAATATTTGAATTTAGTGTTTGTTTAGTAATTTACATAACCATGAATTCTAACGGAAGATGAAAGGAATTGCAGTTCTTTCTTGGTGATGGTGTTATTGGCCTATTTTTCAGAACTATAGCACAACAAAAGCCATCAACAGTGTATATGTGATATATACCAGGGAAAAAAAGTACTCACTTTTTTCCCCTGGGAAAAAAGTAATTTATGAAAAGTCACATTTTATAACCTGTCAACAAAGATGAAATTTCAAACTTATTAACCATGACAGAAAAAATATATATTCCAGGCCATGATTAATTTTTCTGAGAATGAAAATTATTTTTCTAATCCTCATTTATTTTCCAACCTCCTCAATTATTTTCCATTGGAAAAACCGTTTTTGAGTAGAAAAATAGAAACCATTTTCATGCATTTCTGACATGATGAAATTATATTGAACTATAGGTAGTGGGCTACTGCATTCCATTTTGTATTCAAAATAATGACATTTGATTCATTAGGTGGTGGTTTTATTTTGACTAGTATTCATAAATGTGATGATGTGATTTTTTCACATTGTGAAAATTTATTTAATCCTCAAAGAAAAAATAAAATGCTAATACCCTACATCTTCAAAAGTTAAGAGGAATAGGGCATAATATCTTCATATAAATTGTTCTCCTCAAAATGAGCTAAGGAACCATATCCTATATTTTCAGTCATCAATTGAAATTATAGACCTATTTACACCCTGTATACAGGGTGAGTCATTTCTCATGTAGCAGGACTTCAACACCTTAAAGATGAAATTATTTCACAATAAAAATCTCATGTAAAAATATATGCATAGGAGCCTCTTTTCTGATATACAGGTGGTGTCAGTGGCGTAATTAAGGGGGGGTCCATGGGGTCTGGACCCCCCCCCCCCAGAGCTGTCTGAAAAACTGAAACAATCTGGTAAACAATCCTAATAATGGAAAAAAAGACATGAGTTTTGAAAATATCATGGGAATTTAATTTGTAATTCTTTAGAACCTCTGAACGAATATCAGAGGTTAGTTGGAAATTGGAAATGAGATTTTGTCTTCATATAAATAAACATGTTCCTTAAAATGCACTCCCTCCTAGCTACAGCCACTGTAATGTTAGGTAAAAAAAAGATATTCTGAAATTGTGACTAAAATAATGGATCACATCTTCTGAAAATTCCCTTTTATTGGCCCAAATTGTAAGTTCCAATAGAGAATCTGCCTTTGAAAAGCATGATCCTGTGGGCCATAATAGTTATTTATGTATTAAGGCCGTAAAGTAGGCGTTTATGGCCTGTGGCGCGCTGAAGGCCATAAACGCATTTCACGCACGTGATACATAAAAAATTTTATGCACTAGTTGTTTATTTTCTGACTCAAAAGTAATGACTATAGATTTCGATAAACTAATATTACCCTGAATTTAATTTGTCATGTATAAATTCAGTGATCAAGAGAAGCGTAATGTTCATGGATGATTTACATATAAAAATCATCGTACGAATATTGCAATTATCGTAATAGTAAAACTCTTTGATCTCTAGAAGAGATTCATTCTCCAGAATTTTAAAATATGCATACCCAGTATATTATATACCTACCTAATTTTGACGTTGTCAAGCAAGCTGATGGTTGTTGTCTATAGCAATACATACATCCAATCAACAATCTGAATTGTCATTCTTTTACTGAAAAGTAAAAATTAGTGATAATAATAATAGAGACACTATGGAATCGGATAAAGAAGAAGTCTATGATATACCGCTGGATATATTAAAATCCAGGAAAATGATCATAGGTTCTTCATGAATTGATATGACGATATAAGAAAACTAAGAACAGCGGGCGGTAAAGTGCACATTACGGCCCGTGGGCCATAATGAGCCCGCGGGCGGTAAAGTGCGACTTAATGCCCGCAAAGCCGGGCGGTAAAGTGCACTTCACGGCCCGCTAGTGCATTAAAAAAATTTAGAATTCACTATTTTGAATTTTTTTCATATGACTAACCGTTTTACAAAAAAAAACTTAATGAAAGGGTTCACGACATTGTTTTCAAAGGCAATGGGTTAAACGCTTGCATGTGGAGGTGATCGCATGTCGGAACGCATTTGAGACTGCTATTTCAAAGGCGTGCGGTACTGCAATACTTGCACTTGATCCGTTATTATGATCCCAATTTCAAATAATCTTTCATTTTTTACCCAACTCACAGTGACTGTAGCTCAAAGGGGTTGCATTATATGATGAAGAAGTTTTATCTTGAACCCAATAATATTATATTTACATCGAATTCCGAATCACCCTGTATATTGAATAGGTGGTTTCTTTCTTATTTTCTCTATCTTCCCAAGACTAGTGCTTGATTCCAACAAAATAAAAATGCAACAGTTTGAATTTTTCTTCTTTTCAGTAAATTAATTAGTGGCATTTTTTATTTTCATCATTTTGTTTTTTTTGTTCTTCTGATTATTTTTCTATACTACATTCAGCTCAAAAAAAAGTGACGCCAGACATTTTATGTAATTTTAGTCAATAAAACAAGACACTTAATTAATGACAAAACAACAAATGGTCAAATATGGAGGCATACAACAAATTAGTTGTTATGGCAACGGCATTTGCTTTTTTAAAGACAATGTGATCCTACCAGAGTACAACCCAATCAATTTTGAGTACTCTGATCCTTCAATAAATTTAATTTGTGGGATAAGCGTAAGGTATCAGCCGAGATATCAGCTGTAATTCGGAAAATTTTAGAGATAAATCAATGAATAAAAAAACAAAATGCTCGCAAAAGAAGCCTCTTTCGTATAGGGTGTAAGCACTTTCTATGCCATTACTCAATTAACACACAGGGTGAGTCAAAAATTAAGAATAAATCATGGTTCGAGTTATTCCACCACCATCAAGGTGGCTTTGAAAAAATTTTCACCTCTCTATTCTTCCAAATGCATTACCTACCAACAAATAAAAAAAAATCGATCTCCTATTTTTTTTAAGAAGATAGGTAAAATATCAAGTGCGGCACTTTTTTTGGAACTGAGTGTATTTCTTCATTTTGTTATTGGTACCAAATGATGCACACATTTATTGAAACCAATGTAATATACCTACATATTGCTTTTTTCTGTAAATATTGAATATTGGACCTAGACCCCCCATGGATGAATCTGAATTACGCCACTGGGTGGTGTGATAACTTCATATATATTTTTTTGTGTGTTTTCATGTTTGGTTCCTAAGTTTCATGCACACAGCTCATGAAAGCTGTTGGATCTTTTGATCATTCCAAGTCTTCTAGTGAATTATTTAGAAATGTCAAATAGAGTGTGTTCAAAAAATGAAGTTTTATCACAAGTAAATTATTTTTGGCATCTATCTCAAAATCTATACCAATTCTGAAAAATAGATGAAGAAGCAAAAAGGTTACAAAGAGAACAGAGAATCAAAATTAATATTTTATTGAAAGCAGAGGCAATAAACCTTTTGTTTTTGGCATTACTCACTCACCTTTTAACGAAATTTTGTAATATTGTCAAAAAGGGTGATTTTGTTCTGAAGAATGAAGAAAGAACACCCAATTCCAGCAAACTTTATTGGATTTCCTTATGAAACTTTTTCAAAGTCCTAAATTTTAGGTTAGGAACAAGATATCAAGAAGCAGTTTTTGAGAGCTTGTTTAGGCATCATTAAGCAACCTTTCCATGAAAAAAAATGCATTCGATTTTTTGGGAACATCAACTATTTCTGTCGCAAAAATCCCTCTAGCAGCGACATGTGCAACTAACAAAACTGCAAATATTATAACATTTGTAGCACAAGAATAGCTCTTTTCAACTAGCTCAAGTTTGTTGAGAGCGGCTAAGCCGTTTCGAAGATACAGGGTGTTTTTTACAGGAACTCTTGTACCCCCCACCACTTTATTTTCAGAGATACAACAGAAATTGTCCAACAAAAAAGGTTCAGATTTTTGATCGACATTGAAAATTAGGTATTTTTTGTTAGGTTAATAAAGCGGAATACACCAAAAAATCACTTTTCAGATTCAAGATTGTAGTTACGCACCCTAGCGGTCATTTGAAAAACTTGAAAATATTTTCTAGGTTCTTCTCTTGGGCGTTTTAGTAATACAATTTTTTGCCGCAAGTCCCTAGGATGGATAGTTTCCCAGATACAGTACCTCGCATTCTCAGTTTGCCACCCTGTACATCATCTTAGCTAAGATTCCTGAGGTCAAAATAAGTCGATTTGAAGCAACTTACCTCAGTCCGAAATTGCTCCGTTTCCGAGATACAGGGTGGTAAGGTTAAAAAATAAAAATCTACAAGTACACTCCGTCAAAAAATATAGTTATAAACTGAAAATATGCTTAGCTTGATATAAAAAATTGTGTTGAACTGGCTTAAAAGGCCTCCCCCTATCCTCCGTAGGTACGCTCGATGTTCCACGAACATAATAGGAATTTCCTTTCGTGCGCTCCAAGAGATAAAACAAAGTTATTGTTGAACATTCAAAATTAAATAATTTCGTGGATGTTCGGAAAATTACATTTTTGCACTGTTAATTCACAAATCAAATAACATCCAGGGATATAACAGCAAACATTCTTTATTCAAAATAATTTGAATATTCTGGTGCAGCTACGAACACTAAACATGAAATGTCTCGAAATCGGCTTGATATAACAAATTTTCAGAAGAGTACCTTTTTTGCTTGAAAACATCAATTCCTCAACAAGAAACGTAGAAAACTACACTGAGAAAATAGTTTCTACCATTCTAAACCATAATAAGTGCATTGCTAAGCGCCCTCTTATGATCACAATGAAAAAAAACCGTATCCGGGTTTCGCATCCTAAAAAACGCCCAGATACCAATTTTTGAAATGATAAATTCTGAATTTTTCTCAAATTCTGTAAAATTCTATTTTTATTATTTTACTTTACCACCCTATATCTCGGAATCGGAACAATTTCGGTCTGTTGCAGGTTATTTTGAATCAGATTATTCTGACCTCAGGAATACATACCGAGATGTTGTAGAGGGTGTCCCAAATTGCTTGATTTTGACAGGTTTTTCTATTTTCAGAACAGCTAGAGAAAAACTCACCAACGAGCCTAGAGCTCGATTTTTGTGTAACGTTGATTGGTGTAAACCTCATTTCGATATCTCAACCGTTTCCGAGATATAAGCGAAAATTGACATTTTACCGATTTAGAAAATATTTCTATTTTTGGATATTTTTGTCTGATATCAAAGCCAACGTTGTCATTTCAAATAGAAACCATAGTTGGCTTCGACTCCAGAAAATCGGAAAAAACTAGGCTTTCCAAAAACATAAATATATGTCAGGATATGAATATAGACTGTTGGCCCGCGACACAGGGTTTATCGATGTTCTAAGTCGGTATGCCATTTAAGGGACCCACTCACTTAGTCCAAGTTAACAGGAAGGAGTGCCTCGGAGAGTCGCAACCCAGTCCTTGCCCCGGCCCTGACCTCACCTCTCGGTTGGAAAAAAGTTCTAAAATTTTGTTTAAGAAGAAGCTCGGCAATGAAGTGCAATGACCTTATCTCACGAGAATTGGGACGCTTGCCGGTTTGCATACGCCTAGGTCACTCCCCAAGGGCGGCATACGAACCGGAAGTGGCAATTTTTCAGTGTTATAGTCGATGATCTAAGAATGTTTGCCCTTTGGCGAAACAATTAATTCGGACCCATTAATCAGTTTCCCGACATATGCATACGATTCCGGAAAGGGGAGCTCGACTTATTCGAACATCAATTGACTAGATATCTTTCAAATAATCGATGATTTAAGTTCATATGCACATCTCTGGACCGATAAACTAGGATATTCTGTATAACTAGATGCTATTTGCATACGAATTCAATGTGATCATACGTTGTAATAATACCCGCGCGTGCCTCGGTCCGGCGCGGCGCCCCGCACTGCAGGCCAGAGGTGCACCGAAAGCGAACTAGATAATCTGGAAGTCTCATAATCTCACTTCACATGAAACCGGGTCAAAGATTAACTTCCTGGGAGTAATGGGGGTATTCGAAGACGCAAATTGCAGATATATTTGTATTTATTCATCAGAAATTTACAGCTCAACAAAATCAAATGTATCAGAGGTTTAGTACCAAGAAATTTTTTGTTTACAGCTCAAAAAAATCAAATGTATGAGAGGTTTAGTACCAAGAAATTTTTTGTGTGACTTTAATTTGAGAAACAGGGCTTTGAAAAAAATTTACGACAAAATACTCGCAGGATGATCAAGAGGGATCGTACAGGGAGAAGAGGGGTGGATTACTCACAATAAATCGAAATGAAATTCTTCTGCCTATCATAATACTGGCGTCTAAAAAATATATAAAGAATGTACATTCAATTTGTTGAAAGGTGAGGTTAGGGCCGGGGCAAGGACTGGGTTGCGACTCTCCGAGGCACTTTTTCCTGTTAACTTGGACTAAGTGAGTGGGTCCCTTAAATGGCATACCGACTTAGAACATCGATAAACCCTGTGTCGCGGGCCAACAGTCTAATAGTCATTCTTGCTGTTGATACAACATATTTCTCTTTGAAAATGAAGTTCTGGTGATATTTCAATTTAGTTAACCATGGAAAGCAAGATTTTTTGCAAATCAATAATCATTTGAGATTCAAGTGATGAAAAATAAGAAATTGAATGAGGAAGTAGCAAAGTGAGAATAATATTGAATTTTTTCACGAAATATTTAATTCAGTGAAGTAACAATACATCTTCAACGGTTTAATTTTAAGTAGATCACAAATAGTGTTCGAATTGTCCACTATTTTGGTCCAGACGAAGATGGCATTTCTTCTTCACTGATGTCTCGGCGTTTAAGAGTTGTAAAGGTATTATTTGAGCTATGGCATTTCTCACTCTTTGCTGTAATTCTAATGTTATAGAATATTTACGAAATCGGTCAAATGTCAATTTTCGCCTATATCTCGGAAACGGTTAAAGATATCAAAATGCGGTTTCCACCAATCGACGTTTTACAAAAATCGAGCTCAATACCTCATGGTCAGTTTTCCTGGAGCTGTTCTGGAAAAGGGAAAAAATGCCATAATCAAACAATTTCAATCAATCAAGCAATTTGGGACACCCTGTACAGATCTTTCAGGGACACCCTGTATAATGTCATGGGGAATCTTCAACAGAAAACAAATGATCTCTGGTAGAAGCCCATGTTTGCTCAAAGTGGAGTGGAATTTTTCAAAAGGATGAAGGAAAGCTCAAAGTCATCTCCACAACTTCAATAATGATGTAGTCAATCAAAGAGACATGTTTCGGACTTACTAAAGTCCATCTTCAGACTTTTCATGAGTCCGAAACATGTCCCTTTGATTGACTACATCATTATTAAAGTTGTGGAGATGACTTTGAGCTTTCCTTCTTCCTTTTGAGAAAACAACTACTTTCCTGGCTATTTGAATTATTCTAATTCACCCGGTGATTTCAATAGGTATAAAGAAGAGGGAGAGCTGAAATATCTAGAGCCTGCTTTAGAACTTCAAAATGAGGAGAGGAGTACAATAGAAATCAGTTTTGAAGACATAGAAAAATATAATCAAAACCTGGCCACCACAATAATTGAAGAATATTACAGAATTTATCCTTACCTGTGTCAGGCCGTATCCAATTTTGTTAAGGACAGGGCAGGACTCAAGAAGGAAAAAGAGTGCTACATTAGCTTCACTGATGTCCCAACGAGGCATGTGGTTAGGGAACTCAAAACAGACAAAATTGGGACTTTGGTTCGCATATCTGGTCAAGTAATTCGGACTCACCCTGTGCACCCAGAGTTAGTGTCTGGAACGTTCACTTGCTTGGATTGCCAGACTGTAATCAAGAATGTGGAGCAACAGTTTAAGGTATTTTGAGTATTATTATTTATATAGGGTGGGTCATAACTATTGGGACAGGCTAGGGGTGGATTGTTTGGAATAAAATATGGAGATTGGACTAAATACGCCTCAATAAAATCTTGCTGTGGAAAAAGTTATAGGGCGTTCAAATCGAAAAACTATTGACTATAAATGAGGGGTATACCGCGGTCAAAATTGTGTACACCAAACTTCAATTCCACAAGGAATTCCAGTCGTGTGTACACCAGAATTATACCGCACTTCACACAAGAAATTCCAAGAAACTTCTGGGAAATCCAGGAAATTCAAACGAAATCTAAGGAATTCCAAGATAATCCAAGGAATTCCAAGGAAATTCAAGGAATTCCAAGGAAATTCAAGGAATTCCAAGAAAATTCAAGGAATTCCAAGGAAATTCAAGGAATTCCAAGGGATTTCAAAGAAATCCAAGCAATTTCAAGGAGATCCAAGGAATTCCAAGGAAATCCAATAAAATCCAAAGAAATCCAAAGAATTCCAGTTGTTTATACACCAGAATTATACCACACTTCAAATTCAAATTCGTTTATTTGAACTTGCAACAGCAGTAATCTGTAAGATGGATATACACGTCATGTCACATAATTCCACAGAATTCCAAGGAAATCCAAACAATTCCAAGGAATTCCAAGGAATTCTAAGGGAATCCAAGGAATTTCAAGGAATTCCAGTTGTTTGTAGACCAGGAATATACCGCACTTCACTCAAGGAATTCGAGGAAATTGCAATGAAATCCAAGGAATTCCAGTTGTTTATACCCTAGAATTATACTGCACTTCAAATTCAAATTCGTTTATTTGTACTTGCAACAGCAGCCATCTGTAAGAAGGATATACACGTCATATTTAAACACAGAATTCTAAGGAAATCCAAACAATTCCAAGGAAATCCAAACAATTCCAAGGAAATCCAAGAAATTTCAAGGAATTCCAGTTGTTCGTTGACCAGGAATATACCGCACTTCACTCAAGGAATTCAAGGGAATTCCAAGGAAATCCAAGAAATTCCAAGGGAATCCAAGTTATTCCAAGGAAATCCAGGGAATTAGAAGGAAATCCAGGAAATTCCAAGGAATTCCAGTTGTTTGTATATCAGAATTCCATCGCGGTTTACCCCTTGACTATAAACTTGCACCAAAATTCATTCACTGACAAGAAGTGTAATTTACCAGCTACAATTATCTGACGTTCCAGAGCACACTATTCATGAATAAAATGATATTTGAAATTCCCTTCAGAGACTCTTAACTGTTCATTTGCGATTTTCTGGAAATGAGATAAAAATATTTTGTTCAAGCAAGAGTACCAATATTACATAGAAATGATAGTTGTAATATTTTCTGATCAAAATCACTAAGATGTTTTGTTAAGAATAGTTACCAGTCGAATTCATCATCAGGAATCATTCACTTTTGTCCCCTGCAACAAACTGTACACAAGATAATATTCCCTGTATAAAAATATTCTTCTATTGATTTTGATAACTATTGATGAATAACAACTGTGAAATTATTACCAAGAAACGAAAAAATGATTCAACTTTAACGCCTTTATCTTTTTCCACAGCAATATTTTATGAAGGCATATTTTGTCTTATAGTGTTATCGCCATATTTTGGTCCATACAATTCGCCTTTAGCCCGCAAAAGTTATGTCTCACCCTGTATATGAGTTGAATACAAACAATCAACCTGTACAAATTGTTTTTTTTTTCAAGAAAAATAACGTGAACTGATGTAAAAGTATGAATCATCTGACTCACTTTTGACCTTATTTTAATTGTTCCCAGTTTATTCAACCAATGATATGCAGGAATCTTGGTTGCAATAATAGGATGCGCTTCATGATGGACAAATCTAATCAAATCAAATCAAGTTTATTACCAGATTGAAGTGTAAATGGTGTACAAAAAACATATTCTCCAGCTTGTAACAAATAAAACCTATAGAAACATTACTGATACATAGGAGATATGTTTAGAAAAATTAATACTCTTAATAATTAATGACTACTACACATGAAAACATTTACTTATCACATGTGGAATTACACAGCTCAATACTGTAGAATGCCTTGCCTTTTAAGAATTGTTTCAATACATATTTTAAACTGATTCATTGTATTACAAAGCTTTATTGATTCATCCAATTTGTTGTATAATTAGAAGCCTATATAATTTGGATCGTTTTGGCCGATTTGGAGTCTTTCAAATGGTAAGTTTAACAGAGATAAGTTACACTAGTACTATAATCATGTAGGCAATTATTTGTTTTGAAAGAGGTGGAGTTCTTTCTGATTAACACTAGAACCTCGTAGATGTATAAACATGGCATTGTCAGAATGCCCAAACTGATGAAGTGTTTTTTACAGTATTAGTTACTGGCAACCCCAGCATCAACTAGATTGTTTTTTTTTAAGAAAATAAAATTCTTATGTGAACCTGCGCTATGGCCCCAATAAATTATTCCATAAGGAATAACTGATTCAATAACACTATTATATAGCAGTAATGAAATTTCATTAGAAACTGTGTTTTTTAAAAACAATTTCTCACGCAATTTGATCCTTGATTTTCAATGTGTGAATTCTACGTCCACTTACGAATAATTGTTGTACCAAAAAAAAACATGTCAGGGGGTGAGGGTAGTTTCAATCCTACAATTTCTTTTGAGTTTCTTTGATTACTGAAAGGAGAGTGATCCTCTAAAATGGCAATTTATGAATGAAAACATACAAAATCCTCGTAGCGCTGAAAATCGTCTGAGAATCAAAAATAATTATAGTAGGATTTTGTATGTTGTTATCCATAAATCGCCATTTTTCCCTAAAACTGTTCACTCCCGAGCATTGAAGCAAGAGGACCTTTTTTGTGTGAAAGATATTGGCGCTTCAGAATGTGCTTTGAAAACTACAATTTCTACAGTGGCATGAAAGTTTGGGGGGTTGAACCCTTACGAGGCGTTAAACTCTTCGCCACTGACATGTCCAAGAAAATTGATCAAGAGCCTTGAAAGTAGTCATTATTAACGATGGAATGTGTACAAAGGCTCAGCTCCGTAGCTCAAACGGTTCCTGTGATAAGAGCAAAAAACTGATTTTTTATCATTTTTTGACGCCCTGTATATTGAAAACGGAAGCCTGGAGAAAAATTTCGTGAAGGAAAATTATTTCCCTATTTTTATGATGAATCTACAGTTTTCCGTTGTGACACTTATTGCCTGTAGCTAAAATCTGCTACTTTTTCCCTTCTATATTAAATATTATTTCATTTCTGAAAAGCGAAGAAATATGTAGTTTTTCAACCCTTAACTTTGTTTTTTTTAATTTTCGCCTTCATGTATACAGGATGTCCAGAAATTACATAAAAAGATTTCAATCACACATTCTAGGAACAAAAATAGTGAAAAAAATATATTACTTTTAAAGCCCAATATGGAAATCTTTGGAATTTTCCGAAGTTTTGATCAGGGGAGTGGGAAATTGGTGGGGCTAGGGGCAATACTTTCCTCAACTATTGTTTTTATGCAATTTTCGGCAGTTTGACCAGGAAATATGAAAATATCATGATTTTTACCTGAAAATTTTATTCTTGTTCAGTGCTGCATAACAAAAAAAGTGCTTTTTCCTTTTACAGTATGAATTAATTGAAAGAGGTACGATTTATTGTTTCCAGTTTACTCAACCGACGATATGCAGGAATCCGGTTTGCAATAACAGGATGCGGTTCATGTTGAACGTGGACAAATCTCTGTTCGTGGACTTCCAGAAGGTCAGGATACAAGAGACTCAAGCCGAATTGCCTCGAGGATGCATTCCCAGGAGCGTGGAGGTCATTCTGCGTGCCGAAAATGTCGAAACTGTGCAGGTAAGAGGTTTGTTCGCGTTTAAAATTGTTCAAACGATCCTCGGACTGCGCAGATTCTGGTGCTGAATCTTGAACCACCCTTTTGAACACCCTTTATCCCTCTAATCATCCTTGATAGACCCCAAGTGTGATATATTGATGAAATTAGAGTCCCTAGATGTATTTGACACTGCTGTTTTGACGTTTTCTGTATATTAGAGTATGGACACTATCACAAGCACTGACAATCAGACATAACCACAAATAAATTGATGGAAAAAGCGGGAACTGACAGTACACGGACCTACATGACATGAATTTCAAGATTTCAGATTTCAGATTTGACAAATTGAGAGAATTAGAAGAAAGATTGGTGCAAGTTTGTGCAGTTTCCAACTGTGAGAACACGGGAAATCAATTCACTCTATTCGAATTTCCATCGGATAATGTAATTCTACAAAAATGGAAACAGAATATGATGCGGCCAGCACATACTGGGACTCTAGTGGAAAATGCGTTTGTCTGGGGTTCCTCTAGTTAGAATCTAACACAACATTCATTTTTTTGCAGGCGGGCGACCGTTATGACTTTACGGGCACTTTGATAGTGGTGCCGGATGTGGGAGCCCTAGCCCTGCCGGGGGGCCGTACGCAGATCCGCTCCAAGCACCAGCGCCCCGACGAGGCCGAAGGCGTGAGAGGACTGAAGGCGCTCGGCGTTCGCGATTTGCACTATCGAACGGCCTTTTTGGCGTGCGGCACGCAGCCGACCAATCCGAGATTCGGTGGCATCGAGATGCCTATGGGCGAGATGACGGCCGAGATCATGAAGCAACAGGTGAGCGGCCGCCTCACGGTCCGCAACATGCAACAAGTGCAATTAACACTTGTTTTGCACAAAATATTGTTTCTACGTTCGTGCAAAAGCCGAAACTGTCGGACGATTCGTTTGTTGCATCCTGGGATTTGGACGGATTCTGCCGCATGGTGTGTGATGAGAACTCGACCTTCCTGCCGATCGATCGACGGATTACCCGTTAGCTCAATTGGCAGAGCGTTGGGCATGTAACCCGAAGGTTGTTAGTTTGTGAGTTCGACTCTCACGCGGGGCGGTGGAATTTTTTCATTTTCCGTTGTCACTCGAAATTAGGGCTTCCTATCAACTTCATTATCACATGTATCTTTTCGGTCCAGTAACCGACAAAAAAATTATCGCTAACTTCTATCTAGAGACTAGTGACAAAACATATAGCTAATTCAGCTTGCATCTCACTTGCGAGAACTCGCCGCACTGACAAGTTTGCTCTATGCGCCGTGTTGACGGTTCGAAGCGGACCTGTCTTGATTATGACTGGGTAATCTCAAGACGACATTGTGAATATGAAATATATAATTGTTTAAAAGCTAATGCAATCTCTCAGAAAACGATGGCATGAAGTGGAACGTTTATGTTTACCATGTCAAAATACGCTGTAGTCATATGATAGATGAGTGCAATAAAAATTTTAGGGCTCTAGTGCAATGAAGAAACACTTTTTCTACTGAAAATAGTGCAAAAAAATGTTTGTTTTTTGCATGAACGTAGAAACATATATTCATCGGATAAATTGATGTCATGTCCTCGATTTGCTGCTCATGATTTATGTACACTAAATGCTATTTAATTTATAAATCCGTGTGATTTGTCGGACAATTGTCATTCTAAATGGAAACCTATAGTCCATTCCAACTTGGAAGACAGCATTGGGAACCATAGGGAAACATTGTCCTTCTCTTTAATTGGTTAATATTGGAGGCAATATCACACCTGTTTAATATTAGGACGTATGACGCGACGTAGAGATTGAAGTCCTCTTTATTGATGACCACATCGTCACATATCATTAATTTCTCGTACTTTTTATATTATGTTACAATTAATTCAATTAAATCAACATGAACTCAGAGTGGGATTCAATCCGTAGAATGGCTCATGATTTTGAATTAGGGCCATATATTTATGTCTTCAATGTGAATATTCCTTCAGAGACAGCGTCACCTACTGTCTTCTTATTTGGAATGTAGATATAATATCGCCTTTTTGGCATGCGGTACGCAGCCGACCAATCCGAGATTGGGGGGCATCAAGATGCCCATGGGGGAGATGACGGCCGAGATCATGAAGCAACAGGTGAGCGACCGCCTCACGGTCTGCAACATGCAACAAGTGCGATTTGTCTTTTTTGCACGAGTTGCAGTAAGAAAATAAAAGAAAACACACGCCAACAAAGGCCTTGCAAACCCGTGTTCATGGGAATTTTTTTTTTTACATCCCACAGTTTTCGTTTATTCCGCCAGTGTAGGTATGTCATGATCGCGTAATCGCCGTCAACAGCGGATGACATAACTGTCAAGAATTATAATTCAGACACATATTACGTAATATACTATTAGTCTCCTCTATTCTGTGGCACTATGCAATGTACTTTTTTCTATGTCACCCTGTATATATGATTTTGTCCACGAACGCATATATTTGGGAGCTTCGTTTTTAAAATTGTGCTTTAAGTGGTCTATCTCCCGAGTCTCCATCCAAATCAATGTGTTACATGATCTAAGGTTGCAGACAGTATTTGAATCTCAAATCAATTCGACACATCAGTCACATTGTATTTGTTTATTGTGTGATTGCATTATATTCAGAGTTTTGAATATGAGGAAGTGTAGGAGATCATTGGAATTCAATAATGAAATTGTTATTTGTTTAATAGTAGTGATGAAGACACTGATTTGATACTTGGATAGCACAGATCTCAGACGTATATCTCTACCAAGGAAGCAAGTTAAAGCCAATTTATTTTACTTCCCACGGAAGGTATTTTTTTTGTCCCGTGGAACTAAATTGACAGGTTTGTGTCCTTAAATGAGTGAGCAAACGCCTACTTTCGATGCAGTGCAAAAAAATATTAAATTTTAGGTTTCGGTTGTTTGTTTCCCTCCGCTATGCGTCGGGAGACAACAAAGACAACCTGGAGCCAAAATATAATTATTTTTCCCCCGTTAAATAACTCATTATATCGGGATAGAGTTTTTCAATCATTTGCCAATGTATTATCAATGAAAACTTCAACTCGTTCAAGAATAACCTCAAAAAATGTATTATTCAAGGTTTGTCTTTATAATATCTCAGTTTTTTCAATGTGAATTATTTTGTTCCTACCAGTTCTGTGTGGGATATATTAAATTGTTTGGAATTATTTTTATTTTACAAGGTGTAAATTAATTAAGTGACGATAATACAAGGTGTGACTTTGAAGATAAATTTTTAAATCAACATATGTCCTAAACCTCTTAAATTTTAAGAGAAAAATGACTTTTTGATCATGATTTATTATCACTCATAGATATTTTCATGAAATTTCGTACACACCTTTTCATCATAAAAAGAATTTTTGACGTGAAAGATATTTCAAAATTTTCACCATTGACGTTCGTACGGGGTTTTAACTGACAATTTTTGAAGAAAAAAATGGTACACCACTGATTTTTCTAAAAACCAAAATTATTTTTGGAATCCCCATAAATGTTTTTCTCCAGATCTTTGATATTGTTTTTGGTATTTTGTTAAAATTTAGTATGCCCCCACTATGAGTGAAAACAAATTTTGTTCTGGGACAAAAATCGATTTTTTACTTTCACCAGTCATGTTCACGTTGGCCTGATTGTAGCTCAAATACTAGGAAGTTTAGGAAATATGTTGATATAAACTTTTCTCCTTAAAATCACCCGTGTGAATCCACACCTTGTATTATCGGCACACAATTAACTAACACCCTGAAGATCTGAACATTGATTTATTCAACCTGTATTAACACAATGACAATAATAATCACTTCCTTAGATGACCGACGGCGAGTGGAAGCACATGTACGAAATGTCGCACGACAAGAACCTCTACCACAACATGATCAACAGCCTCTTCCCCAGCATCCATGGCAACGACGAAGTGAAAAAGGGCATTTTGCTGATGCTGTTCGGTGGCGTGTCCAAAACGACCATCGAGGGCACTTCGCTCAGAGGTGACATCAACTGTTGCGTGGTGGGGGATCCCAGTACGGCGAAGAGCCAGTTCTTGAAGCAGGTGAGAAGGAGGCTGAATCGAATCTCAATATATTTTTGAAATCAGAAAAGGAAAATCTTCAATTCTTTCGAAAAATATTTGGGGAGTTTCATTGAAAATAACGATGTGTTATTAGGCGTATTCGTCTTACATTTTACGCGCGCGCCCGCTGAAAGGTGAATTTAGCAATTTCATGTCAAGATCCGCACAGAATTTTTTTTTATTTTCTGGTTCCCACGAAACGGGATATCCTGTAATGTTCGTTGAACATCGTGAGAACCAAGGGAAATAAGGTAGGAATTGGTGTTCTTCTTAAATTTATGGAGGTTATATGCGTCGGGGAACACCTCCCTTGGCAGTGTGTTCCAGAGCCTCGCTGTTCGTTGGATGAACGAGTCTTTGGATAGAGATGTTCTGCAGGTCTCCAAAGTGACCACGAAGTGGTGCGGAGCCTCAACTCGACGCGTTAATCTCGGTCGGATCTGTGCCTTATAGATCATAAGCAGCTGACTGGAAGTGAAATAGCTCCTGGCCCGAAACAGAAAACCAAGTTTTTGGGATACACTTTTAGCAATTGATCTTACGTATTTTTCCCAAGAAAGTTTATTGCTGATTGTAATACCAAGCATCAAAATGGATGTCTTCAAAGGTATGGTTATAGTATAAATTGTTGATCAGTCGATGTCCAGATCGTTCCTTGAATTCGATGTATTTGGCAGTTAAAATAGCAAAATAAAAAATCCGGAGTGAAGTTAGAAATAGAGGTGAGAGTGCAGTGTTTCAAATGGTGTGAAAATGTGATATAATTCTATTCGAAGAATAGTAGATATTGGTGATAATTCGAAATCTGAAACAAACGTTCCATCAAAATTATAAACTAAGAAGCCTAAAAACTAGTCAAATTCAAATGTTTATCTGTGAATAGAAGGAAAAAAACTCAACAGATAAACGCTATTGAAAGTGAGCGATAGTCGAGGAACTAACTGAATTTGTTTAGGAAGCCATCAACCCTAACGTGGAGGATTCCTGTACAGTCTGTCATCAAGTTATGGGAGATGAATTGGCCATCTGTGATAGCTGTCATAGTGTGCAGCATCCCACAGAAGCTTGTACATTCATCAGAACTTAGAGCAGTAATATTATTGAAAAGAACGCTAGTTTATTTTTGTCAAGATTGTCGTGTGTTCTTCAAGAATGTTCCAACATTATTAAGAGAGATAAAACCGTTTCAAAACTGAATTTATCTCTTTGAAAAGAGAAATTGACTCTCTCAAAGCGGAAGTAGAAAAATTGGAAGCTGAAAAAAATGGAATGAAAACAGAAATAACTTCGCTCAAAGATGAATTGAAACAAGTAAAGGAAAATAATGCAAACATTTCTAACGAAAACGTCATTATGGAAGTTCTAGAACGTCAAAAACGGGAAACTAATATAATGATTGCGAATGTAAGAGAGTCTCAGGCAACTACCCTTGCACAACAAAAAGGAAGAGGATGGAAAGACAGTGAAGGAGCTACTTAGAAACTTCGGCGTTAATCTTGTGAATGTTACAGTTTTTAGAGTCGGCAAGGTGCTACCAGATAAAAATCGGTTAATTAAAGTCATTATGCAGAACAAGAATGATGCAATTGGTGTGCTCAAACAGGCAAGAATCAATAAAAAGGATGTTCCTGGCGGTATTAGGATATTTGGGGACCAAACAAAACAACAGAAAGATTATTATCTGAGCATCAAAAAGCAACTAGATGAATTAATTTCAAAGGGTGATAATTCAAAAACAATCAGATTCATCAATAATATTCCCACTGTTGTGAGAAACAAAAACAATTCTGTAAAAACTAATCAAGTATCCTAATATTCCTCTAGGGACTAATATTATTTATGGTAACATAGCAAGTTTCACCGCTCATAAAGATGAAATTGTTGATTCAATCTTACCCTTTTATGCAGTGAAAGTCGTACCACTATAGACATCGAAGATTCTGAAATAACGCTCCCTAACTATAGAACAATCAGATTTGATTCGACTTCAAGGCATATAGGTGGTGTCCTTATATTTGTAAAATCAAATTTTCAATTTTCTATTTACAAAGAATATGTTTTGGAGAAAAATTTCTGGTGTTTATTAATAAAAATTAATTTTAATCAATTCAAATTATTAGTTGGTGCACTGTATCACTCGCCTAATGCAAGCCACGCGGTACTTCTTGATAATCACGAAAACATTTGTGAATATCTTGTACAATCCAATTTGAAATTTATAATGGTTGGTGACTTCAATATTGATTATGAAAAAAACGAATTTTATTCAAACCATCTCAAGAATTTATTGAATGTGTATGGAATTAACCAAAGTGTACAGGAATCTACAAGAATTACTAATACTAGCGCTACTTTGGTTGATTTTGTTCTCAGTAATTTTGATATAAAATAGTTCATCATCTACCTAAGATAACGGATCATTCCTTAGTTTCTATTAACACACAAAATGAAACATCTTCAAGTTCAAAAGGAAATATTAAAAATTACCGGAATTTGAAGAAGTCAAATTTGGACAAAATATGTGTAGAATTAATTGGTATAGATTATCTATTGGACTGTGTTGATGTTGGAAGATTCTATAATGATGTCAGGAATAAAACGGAACAAGTTGTTAATTTCATTGCGCCAATTGAGGCATACTATTGCGAGCACAATAGTCTACCTTGGTATGATTATGAAGTTAAAAACTTAACAAAATCGAGAGATAAAGCTTATCAAGTATTTATTAACAATAGAGATGAAAACAACTATCAAAGCATTAACTGATACTAAAATGAAAGATTGCAGTTGGAGTAATATTCAATTTGAATTAGATAATCAAAAGCTAATGAGTATCAACAAAAATAATATTGCTGAAAATTTCAATAAATATTTTGAATTCAGTATAGAAAAGATTGTTAATTCGATTGATATGACTGCAGCTTGGCAAAGTGATTACACTGTTGAGTCGGACTTTTTTCATTTCAAGCAACTGCACTTGAAAGATGTAGCGCAAATTATAAATAAATTAGAAAAGAAGTCAGGTGCTGAAATTGTAGATGTGAAATTTCTAAGGTACTTTTGGAGTATTAGGGCATGTTCTGTTGCATTTCATCAATATTTCCCTTGAATATGGTCAGTTTCCTAATCAGCTGAAAACTAGTATAGTTGTACCGGTACGTAAGATCAAGAACACTCAAAAAGCTAGTGAATTTCGTCCAGTCAACACCTTACCTGGTATGGAGAAATTATTAGAAATGGCTCTATATAATCAACTCTTGAACTATGTTGAAACCAATAAGCTGATAATAGATAATCAATCTGGATTTCGACAAAACCACTCGTGTGAAACGACTATACAATTAACTGTCACTAAATGGATACAATCTATTGACAAGGGAGAATATGTTGTTACAGTATTCCTAGATTTAAGAAGAGCATTTGAAACTATTGATCGTGACATTTTGATTAGAAAGTTAGAAGCCATTGGTATTAAAGGAACAGTATTGCGTTGGTTTAGAGATTATTTAACTGGAAGGAAACAAACAACGAGAATCGAGAATGCCTTCTCTTATCCTATAGACACTAAATTTGGGGTACCTCAGGGTAGTGTATTGGGACCCTTACTCTTTTTAATATATATTAACGACATTGGCGTAGCGCTCGATTGTGATCTGATCAACTTATTCGCTGATGATAACTTGTTATCAATAGCACATGAATGTTGCTATAAGTAAAATGAACACATGCTTGGAACATTTACATGAGTACTTCCAATATGAATAAATTGAAATTAAATATTTCAAAGACTAAAGCTATGGTCCTGACAACAGGCTATAAATATAGGCAATTAAATATCAATTCTTTTTCACTGAACATTAACAACGGAAAATAAGATTTTATAACAGAGTTCAAATACCTTGGTTTCATGTTAGATAACAACCTAACCTTCGGTGCACATTTCAATTATATGTCGAAAAAAATAGCAAAAAAAAACCTTACTTTTTCACACGAATATCTACTCATCTGTCTACCGTTGCTAAGATCACCATTTATAATACCATAATACAACCACATTTTGGTTATTGTAGCACTCTGCTTTATGGTTGTGACCAGAATAAAATTATGGCATTACAAAAACTGCTGAACCGAGGCATGAGGGTGATTCTTAGATGTGATCGTTCTAGTAGTATATCTTCCATGCTTGATACACTGAGTTGGTTATCGATAAAAGATAGACTTTACCGAACATCAATGATATTCATTTTCAGGATTATTAATAATATGCTACCAACCTACTTTAAGGAATGGGCTTATATCACAAAAATTTTTCATTTCATAATTCGATAGAACTCACTCAAACTAACTCACCACCGCAAACCGTTTCTTGATGTGAGCCCCCTACGTTTCATAAAAAATTATTGAAATCCCCAATTTTTCGGACCTCTGAAAACGAGGCGATGATGTGACGTCAACACCCTAATACTGAAACAAGACTATTCCAGACAGAGATGAATGATACATGATTTCCGACAGAGTGAATTAGCGCGAGATCACAGTTGAAAGAATTAATTTATCAGTTGCCTCAGTCTCCGTCGGGCGTTTGGTATTTTCTTTTAACTATGGCGAGATGAGGTTTCTACGTCATAAGAGGGTCCGTTTTCAGAAGGTCTATTATTTATGTCCAAAAATAAAACATTCCAGTTAATTTTTCGATCGAATTATGTCGTCAATCATTATTTATGTACAAAAGGACCATTATAAACATGGTTTGAGTTGAAAGTTCTACTAAGGTGTACACGCCCATTTATAATTTATCGAAATAGTACACATGTATATGAAACAAGTCATAATGAAAACTTCCACTTGCCAAGATGTAACTTATCGAACTCAATGAGAATATTATTGTATAAAGGTTTAAATAAAGTTACCACAAGAAGTTGAAAATGTCACAAATCTCCATCAGTTCAAATCAAAACTAACTGCCTTTATCAAATCAA